TGCAAGACCTGCCCTGCAGCTCCATCATTTGCCCATCCTTATGCAAACATCACTGGTACTTCGTCATACAAAATTTGAACATGAGACCCCGTAAGACAAATGACGCCACTTGAACCCACTTGTTGTCCCAGCGTTATCTCATTCCATTTCATGGATGAGTGAACTTCTTGGGAAACCGGAGCTACTGAGGTTTCCAGGGTGCTCCAGCTGCCTCCTCTCCCTGCGTCATCTCAGCTTCTCGCAGCCTCGCCCAGCTCGGTTCGGTCTGCGAGGCAGGGCCACGCTGCTCCCTCCGCCAGCTCGGCTGAGAACTGACGCTCAGAGACATGAAATGGTTTGTGCAAGATCACAAAACCAGACGGGAAGCAGGACACGTACCCTGCTCTGGTTCCAGGCACTACCCCGTACCCATCTCTGGAGTAAGAGGAAGCAACTACCTAAAGTTGTCCTCCTCCTTCTACCTGCGTCGGACAAAGAGGAATTCAAGTGTGTGGGCTGGGAAACGCAATTCCCTGCCTCGGGCAGAGCTGGGGAGCCGTGAAAGGCAGCAGCATGCGAGGGGGAAGAAAACCGATGTCTCTAATTCCTGCTGTCCTTGGGGGCTTCTTTTGCAGGAATTTGACTTGTAGTTGGAGGCAGGGATCAGAAAACAGGGTCTCTTGTTTTCATTCCTACCTCCGTGGGCTTGCCCCAAAGCTCCGAGTGTCCCACAAATCCCTTCCCAGCCTCAGTCATACAACGAGGTTCGAATCTTCCGAGGAAGGTACTCCGCGGGAGAGGCTGCCTTTGAAAAGATGGACTAAAAATAGCGATTATTGCTTTGACTCAGCCACCTCTAAAACAGATGAAATACGATTTACCTGACTCACAGAATTTCAGTAAGGTAAACTTATTAAAGAGCTATGAGAACCCAAAGAGACAGGCATCATAGAAATGAATGTTAATTATATGTCACACGAGGGAAAAAACAAAACGTTTTGCCAAGCGTCCAACAGCACTGCAAAGCCACCGGTCCGATGCCCAGGGAAAGAGAAACTCTTCCACAGTCTCATTAAGCTTTGGATTGGGCCCTGGAAGAGAAGTCCAATTTAATCTTCACTTGCAAGTTCAACGCATAAAGCACGCCTTGAGCCTTAAAGACAATATTTTTTTAAAAGACATTTTGTAAAATTGTATTTAAAAAGACTTTGCCCAAAGGTAACTCACTTTGTGACTCTGCAAACTGAAAGCTGAAATCTTGAGAAATGACTAACAAGGAAATGAGAGAATTTTTAAATAAAATAAAATCCCGCTTTGCACTTTAACAGGCTATATTCATTTTCACATAGAAGGCATACGGACATTCAGGCACATTTAAACAGTGTTACATTTAAATTTGAAGTGTACGCTTTATTTCAAGGTGATTATATGTCGCAGTAATTAAACAAAATGCTCTCAAAACCACCACGTTCCTGTTACTTTTTAAATGCTGGAACACTTGACGCGCTCGCACAACTTCTATTTTTTTCCTGTAAATCTTGTACTTGACCCTCTTTTTCCGGGGGGTAGCGGGGCTGGGGGGAAGCGGCGGATAAAACTGGAATCTAGGGAGTTGCTTTTTTCCAGTCGCAATTAGAAGGCTGGATTCCGCGGATAATTAGAATCAAATGCTCCAAATAAATGCTGCAAAACCAGGGCTCGCTTCGAGAGGGGCAGCCCTTCGGATCGAGCAGGCAGATCTTTTAAAAAAAGGGGATTTTGCTGAGGGGCTCCGTGCGCAGCCCCGCACCGGAGCTGACGGGGGGGTTTTTGCGCGCAAGTAGCCTTCCAAGGGCTCCCCCCGAGGTGCCGCATCTTCCTCCGGACGGTGCAAAGCCGACGGCGTCGGGCGGGACGCGGCCGGGGCAGCCCCGGCTCTGCCCTGCCGGGGAGGTTCCCCGGTGCCCGGGACCGAGCCCGCCGTCGGAGGCGGGAAGGCTGCGGGGAGAGAGGAGAGGCGAGACGGGGCGAGGGGACGCGGGGGGGCTCGTTTCGGTTCTTTCCAGCAATTCGCCGCTTTCCTCCGTTTTTTGCCCCTTGGAGAGAGCGGGGAGGGGACGCGGGGGGGCTCGTTTCGGTTCTTTCCAGCAATTCGCCGCTTTCCTCCGTTTTTTGCCCCTTGGAGAGAGCGGGGAGAAAGGATGCGCTCGGGGATGCGGGGAGCGCCCGGCGGCCCGGGGGCACCGGGGCTCGGCTGCCGCGGGGCTGCCCCAGCTGCGGGGGCACACGGGCAGCTCCGGC